AGATTGTTGAACTTGAACTTGTTTAGAGGGTATTGAGCAAAGTTTACACATAAGTTTTGAGTGGAATATTTTTATTTAATGTGTAAATGCGGGTGAGTTAACAACCTATTTAATTTTGTAGCTACGGACTATATACAGTACTGTGAGACTATCCGCAGCCAACACATCTGTGCTGTGTGGGATGGTTGGGTCTTCTAGCTGTTTTGTTGAACTTGAACTTGTTTAGAGGGTATTGAGCAAAGTTTACACATAAGTTTTGAGTGGAATATTTTTATTTAATGTGTAAATGCGGGTGAGTTAACAACCTATTTAATTTTGTAGCTACGGACTATATACAGTACTGTGAGACTATCCGCAGCCAACACATCTGTGCTGTGTGGGATGGTTGGGTCTTCTAGCTGTTTTTGTTTTGTTTCAGGTTTACTTTCACATTGGGCGGGTTTACGTATAATAACACTGAGAGGAGCTATTTATTATGAATAGATTTGCACTGGGGAATGTGAGAGGCACATAGTTTTCCGGGATAGCAGCTGGGCTCACTGGTTTCAGCGAACACAGCAACATTCAAAGACCTTGTTCAAGATTTAGATTTATATATATGGATAGCAGAGATTGCAATGTATTAAAATAATTTACTGTAAAGTATCGGTCAATTTCTGCAACACTGTACAGTTCTAATAATAATACACCTTTCTTCAGAATGGAGTATCTCTGTGTCCTCATCTAGTTTAACTGAGGGATTGGTGTTATTCTTTTATGTTATGTCCTTTCTTCCAGCACCTGAAGGACAAAATAATTTTCCCCCTCCCTGTAACTCTTTGAATCACTGGCTGGAGGAAGAATTTTGAGACTCCTGACAGCCTGGGCTGCTCAGTTTAAATCAGTCATGTGCAAATGTCTTATCTAGGAACAAATTCTCTAGTGTGGGTCTTCCGGAGATGGGACTTGTGCCAGAGAGGCTGGAACTCACAGAGTTCACAGACTTGGTTTTGCCCTGCTGTCTTTGGAATCTTTCGGCTGGAAAGCTGCTTTGCACATATCAGTCAAAGCATTCAAATCGCTCCACAGATTTTATTGACCAGCATCACTTTGCCAGTCTGCGAAGTTTATCAGCTATGCTGGCTGTTGTCCAGTAAAACAGGAAACTTGCACATGGCCAGCATGAGTTCAAGTAGATCGTAAGTGATACATAAGCCTTTCTCTCCATTTCTCAGTCTGTCAAACTAGTCTAGCATTCTGCAGCAGCTAATCTAGCATTCTGTACCATCTAGGGGTATGTCTACACTTCGGGGGGTTTTCCAGGATACCAGAGGTATCCCAGAAAAACTCCGCCACATCCAAGGAACACGTTTACTCTTCCGCTTTTTTTTACAGAAGAGCAAACGTGCTCTTTCGGGAAGCCCTGTATGCCTCGTTCTGTGAGGGATAAGGGCTCTGCCGAAAGAGGTTTTTCCATAATTTGGCCCCATCTAGACTGGGCCAAATGGCGGAAAAGCTTTTTCCAGAGAAGTGATCAGAAAAAGCTAGAATGTAGACCTAGCCTAACTGTTCTATTTCCCCACTTTTCAGCGGGGTGAGGAAGTCAAGGCATTCTGGATGAAAGCTTTGCTTTGATTGGAAATAAAGTCCCAGGGCCACAGGGTGAGCGGACTGATGGTCTGAGACCCAGCTCTTCCAAGGTATAATCAATAGGAGTTCGTCATCTAAATAACTTTGAGGATCTGGATGTGACTGTCTAGTATAAAGGCTTATTTGTCCCTTCAGGTTCGGAATGAGCAGTCAGGCCATGGGTGTATCTCTGGGGTCTGTGTGCTCCCGCCAAGTGCTCGGGGCTGGCCTGGCCCCGGGCACATGGTGCATGCATGGTGCCGGAGCCGGCCCGGGCGCATGGTAAGCGCCGGCCCTGGGAGCGCCACGAATTGGCCGCCCACACTTCGGGCGCGCGGTGCTTGGAGGGGGAGGGGAGCTCCGGCCCCGGGCGAACGGCCACACCCCCTGGTGCCCGGCAGCCTCCAAAGGTTGGGGACCACTGCTATAGACTACACACATTTTCCCTCCCCACACCACTACATATTTTAGCAGGCTGGGCAGCAGCCCGGCTCAATTCTGGCTCATGCGGGTCTGGGACCTACTCCCAGTGTGGCTGTGCATTTAAAGTGGATTATAGGAGCTGGGTGGGTAGGCAGGCAATGGGGGGGGCCGCCCGCCCCGGGCGTGCATGTGTCCCCGCCCTCTGGCGCCCGGCAGGAGAATGGCCACGCCCCCTGGCGCCCGGCAGCCTCTAAAGGTTGGGGACCACTGGCCCAGCTGATTAGCTGCAAGTGTGCACTGGTGGTGCACACATGCCTTGATGCACATTATAAAATTTATTCTGCACATGGATGAAAAAATAGAAGGAACATTGATTAGGAGTTACCATCTTGTCACTGAAATACAGCCATCTCTGAGGTGGGATTTGGTAGCCCTGAAACAGCACACAGTAAAACAGTACAGCAGTTCGGGATAGAAAAATGAAGCGTACATTATCCAGAATCAAGATCAGCCAGGATAGTGAGAGAGAGAATGTAGAAACTGTGATACCTTGGCCATATTCCATGCTAGGTAAAATTGCCACACACACAAAAGTCATGGGCATCAAGACCTCGATCATATGTTTCATCTGAAAGACAAAACCTCTGATAACCTTCATGCCATTCTGGGCTCTTAATTCAGTGCTAGCTGCAGGAATAGTGCCAGCTGCTGGGGGGAGGGGGAGACCCACCACGGAGCTGAACTTCATTGTATAACTGATCCCTAAGACCTGGGCTGCAGGCAGTGCTTGTCCTGGTAGAACTATGCTGGTTAGAAGGGTGGCTTTGTTTTGTAATCCAAATAGTTATAATGGTACAGATCCTACTGCAAATGCACTTACACTGGTTTAACTTATTCCCCTTCCCATATAGCAGTGTTCCCCAAGCCGCTTTATTTACCTAAAGGGTCCACAGCCATGGAGCCTCACAGCTCCCCTCGGCTTCGGTTCACTATTTGTTTACTTAAAGGGTCCATAGTCACGGAGCCTTATGATTCCCCTTGGCTACAAAGTGGCGTGGGCCCGCTAGTGGCTTTCTCACAGTGGGCCACAGGCCTGCTTTGGGAAACAGTGCCATATAGGAATAGGCCACTTTTATGTAGCTATCACTGTGTCTGACCCCACACCTGGGGAGCACTTAAACTAAGCCAGTAGTATTAAAGTGGTAGCACTTTGTGGGTGGGCGAGCCCTAAAATGGACTCCAGTCAGCACCCCTAAATGGTGGGTAAGCGCTGATCTCATCTCAAGCGTCACAGCACTGGCCCATCTCTGCTCCTGAGTCACCGATACCATTTCCTGGGAGCTACTGACTCAGCCTGATCCTGCTTAGCTGTTGGGAGCTGCTGTTGCCGATGGCTGTGGTATATTTTCAAGCCCTCTCAATAGATTCCCCTCTTGTGACTGTGAAAACCCACCTCTCGCGCTGACATGTTTTCTAGCCGATCCAAGGTTTATAAATAGAGAGTGTAATTAAAGTGACATGAGCTAGCTCAGTGCCGATGGCCCCAAAACTAAGGATGTAAACAGGTTAGCCAGTTACTGGGTAAGCATCACCCAGTAAGGAGGGTGTTTACCAGTAACCGGTTAACTGGCACCTGGCGTGGCCAGAGTAGCCCTACACCCGTGGAGGCTGCTCCAGCCTGGTAGCCTCAGCAGCTGGTCCATGGTGCAGCATGTTGGGCCCTATGTCTAGACTGCAGGCTTCTTTCGGAAGAACCTTTTTTCAGAAGAGATCTTCCAAAAAAACTTCTTCCGAAAGACAGCATCCACACACAAAAGGGCATCGAAAAAGCAATCTGCTTTTTGGAAAGATAGCATCCATGCTGAATGGACGCTATCTCGCATGAAAGCTGTGATTACCGTGGACGGAGTGGCCACCAGGGTGCCTGTGCTTTTTCCTCTTTCCTCTTCTTTCAAAAGAACTCCCTCTTCCCTGCCCACACACGCCTTTTGCTGAAAGAGCTCTTTCGGAAAAAGGCTTCTGACTCGTAGAAAGAGGTTTATCAATATTGGAAAAACCCCTGTGTTCTTTCGATTAACTTTCAGAAGAACGCAATTACAATTAGGGTTGCCAGATACTGTCACAAACCATAACGAATTGCTTGAGCAAAAAAAACCCCCAAAATGAGAGGGGGGAACAAACTTGTTGAGCAAAAAAAAAAAAAAAACCAAAAAACTGCACACAAAAAAAGACATGCTGCGCCTTTAAATCCCCACTCTCTCCACTCCCCCTGGTCCCTCCCCACTCTCCCCGGCCCGCCTGACATGGCAGGGGAAGATTGTCCCAAGAGGCCTTCTGTCCGAGAAAAACAGAAAATAATGGACATTTTACAAGGCCGGTATTTTCTGTTTTTTTTACTGGACGGAGGCCACAAATACTGGACTGTTCGGGCTGGTACCGGACACCTGGCAATTGCAGTGTGGACGTAACTCAGGTTTTGTTGGTAAAACAGTCGTTTTTCCAACAAAAATCTGTAGTGTAGACATTCCATGACAGCCTAGCCCCACAGTTAACCGGGTAACCAATAGAATTTTTATATATAAAATTTATATCTACATTTTACATCCCTATGCAGAACTCAGCCTGCTGTTCCTGAAACCTGTATCCATCCTCCAAAACCTGGGCTGCAGCTGAGATAAAAATCTTCATTAGGTGAACCACTAACCACTGGCCTATGGCATTGGAGCTCCCAGCAAGTATGCACACATTCCCATGGTCCTCTGCTCACCTGTTAGACTTGCTCTTGAAATAGTGGCCTGTATAATCACAAAGGAAGAGGCTCTGCTGGTGATGTGGTTAGAATTTGCAAAGCATTCACAGGGGATGATTTATAATTTGGCAAAGATCAGCAGTGCCAACTCCAACTGTCAGGTCAGAGCAACCTCTGGTACCATGAGACTGTCCTAAAAAAATC